CTGGAAGAGAACAGACAGGTTGTGGATTTGACTTCTCAAACCAAACTAGCAAAGGTTTCCCCCTTCCAGCTACATTAGCTGAGAGATAGCGCTGCAGGAAAGGAAGCTGGCTGCAAGGACATGAATGCCCAGCAAACTCTCCCTGAGCCATCTGTGAGGACAACAAGATCGTTCTCCTTCCAAGCCAACACATTCTTGGCAATTACTAAGATGATAGATGGAGACAGGGGTTCGAGCCGTAGCAGGAGGGATCTGGGTTAGAAAACAAGCAAAAAACTGCTCAACTGAGCACTTTAAAATGTTGGAAAAGATTAAGCCTGTAGAGAAGGTGATTCTCTAAGGATTACATCACTTTTTAGGATTGTCTTTGTAGACTAGGGACAAATAAGTAAATTGTAATAGCCAGGTTTGCCATGAGGTCTCTGCCGGGTAATAGGTGAGACAGCTGCGGCTCGGTAGTCACTCATCTTGTCAAGGATTCTGCAAACCGGTGGGGGAAAGGTAAGAGATCCTTTCGAGAGCACTCTAGAGGTGAAGTCGCAAGATAGCACATGATTGATGGAAGTGAATGGTGCAGATAATGAGCCCTCATGGGTTCCGAGTAGCGGCATGCCATGTATGCTGGCATGAACAGAGAGCGGGTAGAGGGGACTGCTATGGGCAGAGGCAGAGAGAGAGCACATCTCAATGGCAACTTTAATAAAAATCTCCTGTGGGATCTATGAGTTAGTTTGTGCAGGGACCCCAGTGGGTGAGGTGATCTTTCCCAGCTGACCTTCCTTAGCTCCAGCCAGACTGTTCTAAGCACAAAAGGCACAAGAGTTCAAATAGGGGTTAGACTGGGACTCAACTGCTCTTGGTTTAAGTAAGGCCTGCTTTTGTTTTGTTGTTTTGGATGTGAATGGATCCTGGGGAAGAAGAATGAATCCAGAAACCTCCCATCGCTGTGTTTCCAATAGAAACCCCAAGCAGGCTGGGAATCAGCAACTGCTGCCCCTCCACCACTCCGTGGTCAGCAGCATGAAGCCTGGGGGTATGAAGCCTGGGGGTAGGGGGGCAGACCTTGCCCTACACCCCCTCTGCAGCCTGCCTTGGCTGTTTGGGGGGGGGCAGTGGAGACTTCACAATCACCTCAGGATCCTGACAGTCTCTGTGGGTTTTCCTAGTGACTTGTTCTCTAAAGCTGGTCCTGTTTCCATAGAGACCCTATAAATAGAGGAAACGTTGGCGACCTAGGCTTATAAAGGCTCAGGGTGACCCAGGCACCCCTGAGTCCTCACAGCCATGTCTGTGGTAGGGCAGAGGGGATGCCAGACCAGGTGGAGGAAGACTAAACAGCCAATACCTGGAGCTTGTGAGCTCTGGGTTAATTGTGCCTTCCCATGACCCCTTCAGCAGTTAGGGATTTTGATGAGGACATAGGGACCTGCAGGTATTGGAAATTGCTTTAGGTCATGTCGTTGTAGCCAAATGTTGCCAAGGACACCACACCCTGAAGCCTTTTCCTTTTGACATCTTTAAGCTGTCTTTGCAGAATCTGGAGCAAACTTCCCTTTGTTGGACCCACACCCAGGGAGGAGAACAGCTGAAGCCTGCTGTTCAGAAACCACAGGGTTCTCAGGAAAGAGCATCATTCTTCCTGAGAACACTGCACCGCCCAGAGAGTATGGGTCCTCCCTACTCTTGAAGACAGTTCCAGGGGAGGGTCAGTAGGACTCCTTCACTGCCCTCCCCAGGTGAGCTGGAAGCTGCCCTTTCCAACTAGCCCCTGGCTAGCCTGGGGACACACTGTATTCCCTATGGATAGAGAGAGCTTGTGCCCCCATCCCTGACTCTTCAGCCTCGCAGGTCTCTTCTTGACACATGGTTTCGTCTGGCCATGGCAGTGGCTTTTGGCAGCTGGAGGAAAGCAAAAGTCAATGTGGAGAGCAAGTGACATTTAGAAGCTGGAACCTGTTAGTCAGAGCAGGTGGCGCTTTCTGCTGCGTTGGTGGCTAAGTTCCCGCGAGCTAGTCGCCATGGTTTTCCTCACTTCTGAAACTTGGGGCTGGGTATGTATATGAACTGAGGTTTTTTTTTTTCTTTCTTTTTTCCCCTCATCATGTTATGTCAAAGCCCTAACCATCTCGCTGACACCCACAGGTAGAAGCAGCTGGCCTGTGTGTCACCCTGCTATTCTTGCTTCTTACTCGCCCCGCCCCACCTTGTTCTTTGATTTACTTTTTGTTTTTTTTTCTTTATATCTTCTGTGGACTTTTAAGAGCCCTGGGTACTGCTGATGCAAAGATCCTTCACGTGCAGAGCACCTGGGGAGGGAGAAATGAAGATTTGATCTGAAGACCTGTGGCTAGAGACTTGCCCATGTCCTGTGATGAGGCCTGAGCAGACCCCCCTACAGTTCAGTGGCCCTCCCTCATGACTCTGAGATTTTTGCTATGTTTTGATCCTGCCTTAGGTGTTGTCCCAGGAGATGCAACAACTACTGTAGTCTCTCTCGTGTCGGGTGTGGGCCAGGAAAGGTAAATTAGACTAGAGCTTGGAGGCTCATCTTTGTACTTTGGATTAGCCACCTAACAATTATGTGCCTCAGTTTTTTTGTTTTTGTTTTTGTTTTTCATCTGCAAAATGGAAGATGGCTACTATGGTCTGTCAGTTGTAAACTCCTGGAATAAGACTAGTGTTGGGTTAGACTGACAGCAAAAGTTGAAAACACTCTGTATAGTTTTAAAAGCAAATTAGACAAGGGTTGTAGGGGTGGAGAGGATATGGCTGGTGGGTAGCTGAGATTCTCCAACCCCCTGCCCCATATATGATGCACCAGACCCCAGGGCTCTGTACCCAGGAACTCAACTAAAGTCTTTTAGGGGAAATACTGTCCCCCTGAGTGGGTGGGAAAGAGGGGTTTCTGTGTTGGAGAAGCAAGTTAGGAATAGGGTATGGAGGAAGGGCCTGGAGTAGAATGTAAGAAAGTTCAGAGGATGTAGTGTATTTAGCAGGAACAGTTGGGCAAAAACCAGGGCCAGGAGGCCCCATCTGGGGTGCCTTGTTGGAAGTCTTGTGTCAGCTTGAGCTTGGCCATATGAGAAAGAGAGTTGGTAACTCAGCTGTAGTCAGGAGGTCCAGGATCAGTCTGGCTCACTCTGCACTTAATGACACCTGTGTGTTACCATCCACTCTACCGTGGACATCTTGGTTCTGTCCAGTATAAATTTAAGCGGGCTTGGGGTGCTGCCTCTCTGAAGGAACGGCAACCCTGGGAGCACCTGACATAGAAGACCTGTTTCTAGGGCTGCTCCAGACCTCAGTTCTTCAGAAGGAATAATTTCCCTATCTATGGCTGCCAGTGTGTGGTCGTTGCTTTGGTGGGAATCTGGGGAAACAATGAGATTATGCAGGAGAGAACAGATCTCCAAACTCAGCTCATGGTGAGGTGCGAGGATGGATAGATATAGCCTGTGAGGTTCCAGGCCCCAGGGGTGGACTGTAGGGCTTGAATGAGGAGCCTTCTGTTTTGTGCTAATGAGAGTCTGGTGGTCGCACAGAAGCATAGGTGCAGCTAGCTACAGGTAGCACTGAGTGGACAGACACTCAAAAGGTGGAGACTTCCGCTTTCCTGTTTTCTTCATGCTCAAACTTTTGCTCTGTTTGTTTCTAAAAGGAAAAAAAGAAAGAAAAACTAGCATGTCTAATTTTTTGGCTCACTCTGCGGTTAATGACACATGTGTGCTACCATCCACTCTACCTTGGACGTTTGGTTCTGCCCAGTATAAATTCAAGTGGGCTTTGGGTGCTGCCTCTCTAAAGAAATATTTAAAAATTATTTTAATGATGGAGGTTATTTTGTGAGGTTATAGGATGTTGACACAGAGAAAAACCTGCTGTGGCTCCCCTGAGCCCCAGGTAACTTGGCTCTATTTCCCTCTTAGAGGACAAAGTATAATGTTACCCCCGGTCTTCGAGTCCCACCCATCTTCCCACAGCTCTGGAGCTCTTCGGAAGACGTGGCCTACACAGATAAGCCATCTTCTCATGCGGAAGCTGCCGGCCGATACATGGCAATTGCCCTGGCAGCCCATCCACCAGCTGTTTATCCTGGGCAGTGCTGAGGGTTAGGGGTAGCAGCTGGAGTCTCTTGGGGCAGTGCCACAGCGGGGCATCCGCAGGCTCCAGGGCTTCAGCTTGGTTCTAGTCTGAGGGGAAATGAAAGCCTTGTGTAGACAGCAGTAGATACTCTAGGCTCAGAAAAATAATGTTTATTTCATTGTCAACTATGTCAGGACTTAACTGGCTGTGAGTAACAGAAAGTCATAGGAGAGACATGTGGACAGAGGTAGGTTCTGTAGATTCTTGTTTTGTAGATTCTTCTGGCATGAGTTTGTCCTCTGTCATTGGCTACCAAATCCCCAGACACTACTTTCACATCCTTGATGGGGGAATTAGAAAGGACCAGTCCCTTTATGGGGAAAGTGAAGCAGGAAGTTCTAGCAAGGTACATTAACACCTTGCAGTTTGATTGGTGAGAAAGGCTTCCGCTGGGTACCAAATTAGCAGAGCCTGCTTTGGAGGTATAACCTGATTATATGGACCTGCTTTTTCCAAGGAGTGTCACAATGAGACCTCTGTGGGAAGGGATGTTTGGTGGTCTCAATGCCTCAGTGCAGCCTGAAGGACAGTCTGACATAGAGGAAAGGAGGTAATGAGGCTGGGGAGAGCAGTTGAGAAGGATATAGCCCCAGGAATGTCTATGTACTACTTGGGTGCTACTAAGCCACAGGCTACAGCCTGAGAACATCTTGTTTAGAAATCTGAACTTACTGTAGGAACCGAAGGGTAGATGACCTTGTAGGCATGGCAGGCCACCCATAAGGATCCCTGCGTTCAGATGTCTGTACTAGCTGCTCTGGTCTTTTATGAATAGAACCACCTTCAACCCCCAACTGACAAGGCATCCAGGAGCTTTCAATTAACCAGGGCTTTTCATCTTTCCCCTTAAGAAAATCCAACAGCTCTCAGAGGGCTCCATGTTTGGCCACGGCCTGAAGCACCTGTTTCACAGCCGCCGAAGGTCACGGGAGAGGGAGCACCAGGCGTCTCAGGAGGCCCAGCAACAGCTGCAACAGCAGGGCCTATCTGATCAGGACTCCCCAGATGAGAAGGAACGCTCCCCAGAGATGCACCGCGTCTCCTATGCAGTGTCCCTGCACGACCTGCCTGCCCGACCTACTGCTTTCAACCGGGTGTTACAGCAAATCCGTTCCAGGCCCTCCATCAAGCGGGGCGCCAGCCTGCACAGCAGTGGCGGGAGCGGTGGCCGCCGTGCCAAGAGCAGTTCCCTGGAGCCACAGCGTGGCAGTCCTCACCTGCTTCGTAAGGCCCCCCAGGACAGCAGCCTGGCCGCCATCCTGCACCAGCACCAGGGCCGACCCCGTTCCTCCTCTACCACCGACACCGCCTTGCTCCTGGCTGATGGCAGCAGTGCATACTTCCTGGCTGAGGAGGCAGAGAACATTGGGGACAAGGTAAGTCTGGGTGAAAGGAGAGCCACAATGAAACCTCTGAGGTAGACCTGGTGCTCTGATTGGCACTGCTGATACTTGCTACCCTGTTATCTGTCCTGACTGAGGAGTCAGGATATGAACAAGCCAAACACGGGAGTGCATTATCCCAGGGGCTAATTTTTGTTTGTCTAGGGGATTGTTTTTTCAAAAATGGTCGTTTGCCCAGGCTGATAGTAATTTCGGGTTTTTTTTCCCTTAAACATGTTTTGAGGCGACTGAGGCCTAGCTATCCTTCTTACTAGCAACATTAACTAGCCACTGTATCTCTTTGCTCTTCTGTATTGCCAATTGAAAACGGGGGCAAGGAGAGTAAAGAGTTAGCATAGGTAACTTCCTGGACTGGAACCTGGCAAAATATCTTTACTGTGATTATTACCAACTGAAAAAGAAGGGAAGGAATCCATGAAGTGTTACTTGGCACTTCATGAATGTATCCAACTCCTTTGTTTATTTGTGTAGCAAATGTTAAGTGAGTGTTTATTGGATGTTACAGGAGGGAACAAACCAGTGTGGCTGATCTCATGCCACCCAGTGTTTAGAAACACTGGTGGATGAGTGGAAAGGCTTTGATGGATGCCTTGGAGCTTAGAAGCACAGTAGGCAGTGAGGGTGGAGGGGAATTGGCCAGAGACTTTCTGCAGGACTCGACTGAACTTAATCTTGACGGAGGCAGGGAAGGTTGGTATGCAGCAAAGCAAGGGAGCTGGCAGCATGTGCTTGCTTGTGGAGACTCAGGGAGGCAGAGGCAGGAGCACAGAGGGTCATGTCGTGTCCATCTGGGAGTCAGATGAAGCTATGGAAGGCTGCTAGGCAGGGAAGAGGACACAGAGGGTGATTAGGACAGCAAGCAGTAGATTAGGCAAGGGGATGGGGGGAGGAGCCAAGGGAACCGTTATTACAGCAACTGTAGCCATGAGATGGAAAGGGGAGAAATTCACAACATACTGGGGAGTCAGAATCAGTGGAGAAAGGCTAAGGAAAGCAAAGCAAATGATGGGGAGAGGAAGCAGGCTCTGGGAGAGGGGCTCTCCTGTTGCAGGTACTGGCAGTGGGCCTCGGGGGTGGGCTGGCAGGTAAAAGCAGCATTGGGGTTTAAGTCACTGCTGTGGGTGAGGTAGATCCTCAAGGGGACGTTGTTTTGAGTGAAGAGGCTACGGCCAGATCCCACTGATATAGAAGGGACAGGCAGCCACTCTGCCCTGCTTGCTGCTTGTGCCACATAGGTTTTCCCCTCCTTCCCTCTTTTCTTGGACCATAGCTGTGTGTCTCTCTCTGCAGATTTGCTCCCACACACCTGGGTGCCCCTCCAAGGCTCCAGAGCTGTAATTTATTTCCTCTCTCATGGACTCTATCAGGAGATAAAGAGCTGAAGGATTGGTGGGAGAAATGATAAAGGCAAAGATGGCAGAGCTAGCACAAAATCTTGGCTTGCAAAGGAGCTGAAGAAAGCTGATGTGGAGAAGAGATGGGGATGTTCAGGGGTTAAAGAGCAAGTGCATTGAGAGAGCATAAGGAGGAGCTGGAGACAGGGGTGCCATTGGGAATTAAGAACTGGAAACTTGGTTAGGTGTAAATGTACATACCTATAATCCCAGCACTAGTGAGGCTAAGGCAGGAGGGTCATGAGTTCAAGACCAACCTGAGTTACATAGTGAGGCTCTCAATAAAACAAGGACTAGGGGTACAGTTCAGTGGTAGAGTATGTTAGCATGTACCAGGTCCTAGATTTGATCCTTAGGAGAAGAATAAAGGATTTGGTATCTTGAGAAATGGGAGATATGGCCCAGACAAGGAAGGAATGGAAAGAGATTTAATTTGATGTGTCAGAAGCTCAGAGGCTAAGTGATTCGCTTGGTAGAGGGGAAGCTATGAACACAGGCATTGCTTGGTGAATGATGGCGGTGGTCAGAGAGACGTAAAGGCAGCCTGGTGTGTGGAGGCCAGAGGAAGGAAACTTGCTACAGCAGGGAGCGCAAAGCTGAAGGCTGGTCTGCCCACGAGAGCTGGAGGAAGTAGATGGCCCTACTTCTAGAGCACAGGAGCTATGGGGAATGGGGCTGCCCTGGGAAGAGGAGCTACAGGGAGGGCCTGCTGATGGGCAGCTACCTACCTATGGAGGATGGACCACAGAAGATGGGCACAGTGGAAAGAGCAAAGTAGGGGAAATGCTGGGTGACTGTGGAGCCCCGTTTGGGAGTGACAGGTTAGTGCTATCTCTAGCAACACGGTTCCGAGAACACTCAAGTGTAGTGTTGTTTCTACTACAGATGGTCACCAGCCCAACTTTGCATACAAAATCCAGAGCTTTTTAATACCGACTGTGACTTCTTGTGCATCTCGGCTCTTAGGCTTATTCTCTCAGGATTATTTGGTAGTTAGTGCACTCAGCTGTCACTGCCCACCTGCACTGGGTGGACAGTGGCTCAGGTTTGGCTTGATGTTCTTCCAAGATAGACAATTCTTTTTGTGAATTCATTAAAATAGTTTCTTAAGGCAGATGAGCCATACTCTGAGAGCCTAAATTTTGATATATATCCAAAGAGAGGTATGCCTTGTTAAACACAGAACTCAGAACCTGTGGCACAGTTGTATAAACCTGGGGATCCTAATCCCAAATCCGGTGCATTTCTTCCCACCAGGCCAGGCTGTCCTACCTGTGTAGCTGGCACTGGTTATCAGTGGTGGTTCAGCCACCAACTTGTCAGACCCAAGGTTTTGCTTTGAAAGAATTATCACACCCAGCATGACTTTGCAACCATTTGTGACCATGAGTTGTTGAGTCATTTCATATGTTCTACATGTAACACTGATTCTACATTTCTTCAAGTAAAAGGACTTCCTACAGATGGTCCTGGGACACCGGTCCCTAGCAGCCAGCAGCCATAAGTCAGCATATGCCCCCTCCCTTCTTGAGCGCTTTCATTTGTGCCTCCCTGTGTTCCCCTTTATTTGATAATATTTATTGAGCATCTTCTACGTGCCAGGTACCATTCTAGGCATGAAGGAAACTTCAATGAATGAAAGAAAAACTTCCTGCTGTGAGGGATCACCCATCCTGGCAGGAGGAGATAACCACCCGTGACTACTGGATGTATTTGGTAGTAAGAGTGCTAAGAAGCAAAATAGAAGTGGAGCATGAAGGCAGAGAATGTGGGTGGGCATACTATTTTGATAGGTTGGTCAGAAAAGCCTCTCTGACAATGTGCAGATAGAGAGTAGAGGCAGCAAAGCAGAGATCACAGCATAAAATCTGGGACAGGCTGGGCTGGGGGCTGGGGAGAGTGGGGACACTACAGATTACATTGGCCCAATATGCCAGGAAAAGGACTTATGATTATTATTTTTTCCCTCAAGTGATAGAAGTGCTAGAAAATTTGATACAAGATTACTGGTTCTGGCCTGTGAGAACTGACTTGATAGTGTGACAGGGTTAAGCCAGGGGTCTGGTAGGAAGCTGGTGTGTATTCCAGAGGGGCTGGTGTTTGGCGTGGAATGGCTGTAGTAAGGATGTTGGCTGAACTCTCAATTTGCTTCAGATGTCAAGGCCTGGGGTATCTGATGGATTGGGTATGGTACATGACAGGACAGGAGAAGTCATAGATGGCTCATGGTTTGGGGCCTGGCTGCAGTTCTGTGAGCTGAACAGCAAGGAAAGTGGCAAACTGAACAGCAATTCCTTTGGTGGGATGCAGGCAGAGCTAGGTTTTGGCTGTGTTAAGTTTGAGGCAGCTATTAAACACCCCTGTAGAAATGCCAAATAAGCAGCAGGATGAACAAGTCTGGAGTCCTGGGGAGAGATCCAACCTGGAGGCATAAATTTGGGAGGTGTCAGCATATAGATAGCATTTAAAATGATGGGACTGCGTTTGCAAGCCTGGCTTCTCCTGGGAGAAGTGTGCAGTCAGGGGGAGGTCTGGTTGCACTTGGCTGCAAGGCCGTGGCCTCCTGAACCCAAGAGCTGGTGGGATACACCAGCTGGAACCAGGTTGTTCAGCCCTTAATGAGAAAGCTCTGCCTGTACAGCAGCAGCCGGGCCCACCTCTCATGGGTGAGTCACTGAGTGTTTCAAGTTTTTATTTAGAAAAATCCTGTCACAGGAGGGACTTGAATTTGTGGGATGGGGGAGGTAGTCCTTGGAACCTCCAGTTAATTAGGGTTCCCCTAGAGTTCTCTAGCTTCCTGGGAAGACAGGGAATAATAGGTGGACAGTAGTCACCTTCAGAATCCAGTGATGATTGCGGCTTTGGAAGGCAGAGACCAGGGGAACTTTGAGCAGGTTACCAGCTGGACAGCTTTCTGGGGGCTTTCCCATCTCATTGTTTATCTTGACACTGTGTCTGGATGATGTGTGGGAAGAGAATTTCTTCTCACTGTATATGGAAGGCCAGACCCAAAGCCTTGGGTAACCTAACTGGGGGATGGCTGGTGAAATGGCTGCTTGTTATTAATTGCCATATAGATGCTGGGAATTGAACCTGGGTCCTCCGGAAGGGCAGCCTAGTGTTCTTACCTGCTGTGCCATCTCTCCAGGCCATTCTTCCCTATTCTTTTTCTTTAAGATTTAACTTTTGCTATCTATCTATCTATCTATCTATCTATCTATCTATCTATCTATCTATCTATCTGCAGGGTCTCACTGTGTAGCCTTGGCTGGAACTTGCTATATGAACCAGGCTAGCTCTTACAGATCCACCTGCCTCTGCCTTCCAAGTCCAGGAGTTAAAGGTGTGTGTCACCAAGCCTGGCTTCTTATCTCTGTTCTGATTTGGAATTGTGAGCTCTGATGCTGTATGCCTGGTCCACCTCCATAACAAACTATTTCATAAGTGAAGACTAAGTACTTCAAGAAGGGAGGGGCTGCTTATTCAGAGCATCCAGCTAGGTCTTGAGAAAGAGGCACTATTTCTTCCTAAGGTATAGACTTGCTGGACCAGGGGCTGTCCCTCTAGAGATGGGTGTGG